CTAATTGTAATGATATTAAAAATATGAATTTCCTTTCAGTAGAAGAATGTTGTATTTCTGTATGAATAGTTGCTTGTGTTTTTGGGATATTTTCTATATTTTCATTAATTCTTCCACAATTACAACAAATAAATGAATTTCCATTATGTGTATTATAGATATTATCATAATATCCACATTTACATTGATTTGGTTGTATTGATGATTGTTCATTAATAGGGTATGGAGTAATATGAATTGTGTGTGGTAAAATATCTTTTTGTCTATAAATGAATTGACATGATGTGGTTATCATTACTTCTTTTTTATTTCATTTAGTTCTTTTTATATTTTTTATTTTTTTATTAAAAAAGTTTTTAATTAAAATTAACCATAAGTATAGTTAATTATCTTTTCTTTTGTTTAATTAACGTAATTAGATGGGAAAATACCTTTTACTCCATTAAGTTCTCCACTCCACCAATCACCTGACTTCTCTAATACAGTAATGACATCTCCTTCTTTAAAAGACAACTCTCCTGCATCTACAGCAGTATAATCATAAAGTGCTGTTACAGTTGAAAATTGATTTGTTGGTTGAGTAGTAGTCATAACTGGAGTAGTTGGTTCTGTTGGTTTAGTTTGAGTAGTGAAATCATCATTAACAAATCCTCCTAGGTCATTATTTTTCTTAGCACGAACATTTTCTAAAACAATCATTGATTGTTCATTTGGTGTGATTGGAATTTCTTGTTTTAAATCTACTTCAGGAATTGATGAAATAATATTTGGTACTTTAGTCCAAATTTCATTTAATTCATTAATATAGTCTGTGTAACTCTTCATACAATTAACACAAATTTGTGGAAATTGTATTTTGACTTGTTCTATACATTTGTTTATGTCAGTAACTATCTCATTTCTCAAATAATCATAATTGTCTTTAGCTTCATTATATCGAGTCTCTGCTTCAGCTAACCCATTTTGTTTTTCTGGTGCTTTCTTAGCAATTGATTCATATTTGTCATGAGCTGCATCCATATCTAATCTTCTTTGTCCTAAAGTTTTAGTCCTTTTTTCCATAATAGTACATGCCTCAACAAGCCTTTGAATTGGTTCAATTACTTCCTCTTTAATTTTCATACCATATAAATGACCTTTCATATCTATTTCTTCAAAAATACTATAACATTCTTGACAACAACATCCTTCTCCTAATAAATCTTTTCCATCTTTCATTGCTTGCATATGACAAACAGTTGATGATCTTCCTGCATCTGGTAGTTTTGAATATGAAGAACTAGCTTTCTTTAATTTCTTAATAGTGTTTTGCAACTCAATTTTTAATTGATTTACTTCATTATCTTCAGTCTTTTTAGAAACTCCAACAATTTCTTTAACTCCTTGGAATGATCTCTTAAAAAACATATTATTTCTGGGTTTTAAGTTCTTACCCATTTTTAGATGTTTATTATTTCGTTCATCTGTATTTTCATTTTATTCTTTTATTTATCTCAATCCTTCTTTAATCACTTCTTGTTATCATAGTTTTTTCTTTTCAATTTTTATGAAGAAATTTTGATTAAATACATTCTTTCTTAATAATCACAAACAAAAATCCATTAATTAAGTTTATTATCTTTATATTTCATTAATACATTTTTCTTTAATTGATTTATGGATTGTGTTTCTTACTTCTTATAATATTTTTATGTGTTTATTTTCTCAATTTTGTTTTTTTTTGTCCTATTAAATATTAAATTATTATATCTTGTCATTACCTTTTTGTTTTTTTCGGGAATGTATATTGTTTTCTTTTTATCATTTTTGGATATAACTTTCCCAGAAGTAGAAGTTAAGCAAAAACTCTTATTTTTGGAAAAATACATTGAAAAAAATAAAAGAATTTAGGTAAAGAAACTACAAATAAAAAGAATAAAAAGAATAAAAAGAATAAAAAGAAAGAACCATTCAATTAAGTTTAGGAATAATCAACACAAAAAGACAATAAAAAATATTATTTGTAGTGTGAATAAATTAATGATTACTTAGACATATAAAGTCAATTATGTTAAAATAATTCACTTTGAAAGAGGAAATAAAAAACAATAACAAAATTTTTAAAGAAAAAAGTTATTCAAAATATGCTCCACAAGTTGGACAACGACCTTTTTGCTTTTCACAATAAATTCCAAAACAAGAAGAACATACATACCCATGGTCTAATGGTTTTTTACAATGGAAACACCATAATTTCCAATCAATTGCAGGTTGTTGATTTCCAGTTACTCGAATTATTTTTTCAGTGTCACAATCAGAAGTATTATTACTCTAATAATTAATTGAAATGAAAAAAGTATCTTTTTGAATAAAACAAACTAATAACCTTGGAAAGAGGGATTGAAGTGTAGCAGTATTGTAAATTCCATTTGTTAAGTATGAAGCTTGTTGACAAAAAGTGCATCTTGTTTCAATTACACTTAATACAATTGTATCAATGGTTGTTTTCTATTAAATAAGTAATTAAATGATGATTAAAATCATTTAACAAACAATTCTCTGAGCAGCAAAAACACAATTCATAAGAGGAATAAATTTTGGTGAACTTTCAAATGGAGTTGATACAATAATTATTTTTTTCTGAATGTCTGGTTGAAGTTTACCATCTTTATTAATTGTTGTGAGGGCTAATGACATAGCTGATGAGAGATTTGGTTCATTGACAAGGAATTTATCATTTAATACTTCTTTTATTGCTTCTGCTATTGATATAGTTAATTCTCCTCTATCACTTTCTTTTACAAATACACTTTTACCAGCATAAACAATTATAAAAATTGATGAATTGTCATGAATTTCTTTTAAAACTCGGATAAATGAATTTATTATATTTACATATTCTCTTATTTCTTCAACATTTAGTTTTCTATTATTATGAACAAAGAATGTTGCATCAAGCAATATTCCACAAATCATAGGTAAACTTTGTTTAATCAGAGTAGATTGTTGTTTTTGCATGAACCAAATGAATCATTTAATCTTTTTTTAATTAATTTTCATTTTTTTTTATTCACTTATCATTATTTATTATTATTAATCTAAGTAATTGGTGGTAACGAAATTTCTTCAACGCCTCGTTCAGTGGCACTATTAAGTTGTTTGTCTGTTTTTTCTTTTTCTTCATAAGAAGGAAAAATAACTGGTGGGAATGATGGAGCCATTGGAAACATAACAGGTGAAAAAATTGTTCTTTTTTCATGAGGTTGGGTTGGGTATTCAGGTTGAACAAATGAATCTGAACAAATAAGTTCTTCTTCATAATGTTTTTTGGACAAATGAAGTTCCAATTCATTTCGAATTAAATATAAGAGTTGAACTTCTCTATTCATTTGAAGTTCAACCATTTCAAGTGTTTGTTCCATCGTCTTTAATTTCTTTTCTACCAAATTAATTTGTTGTTTTAAATCTGTTTTTTTTTCGGTTGTACAATCCTCACTTTGTTTTTGTTCTTCACTTTGTTTTCTTTTCATATATTTTTCAATCTTATAAGCTCTTAACTAGTGTAGTCTTTCATTTCAATTACATTAATTAATCTTATCGAAAAGAAAGTATTTTGTAAACTTCAAAAAAAAGAGGAGTTTAGAAAAAAAATAAAAGAATAATAAAAACTTAAAAAAAAAGAAAATCATTAAACTAAATTTTATCAATGCAATACAAATTGTTAAATCTATTCCAGTTACCAGAACATGCTTTAGATATGGTATTTTCTAACTTAAGTAATGAAGACTACATAAAAATGGTTGAAGCTTATGAAGACTTTATACCCCAACAAATGTCATTATCAAGATTAAAAGGTATTTTTGGTGAGAAGATTGAGATTGAAAAAAAATTAGAAAACCGAGGATGGCATTACCTTATTCGTAAACTTATTAAACAAGCTCATCCACAAGAGTTGGTTTCTAATATAAGTGACAATAGATTTTTTACTGTATCTGGGAGAAAATACTCTCCTACAAGTGCTAAACATATGAATTTGTGCACTCATATTGGTCAATATCCTTTTGGTCCAGAAAAAATGGTTGGTATTATGACAAACCCAAACAATGAACGTGTTATTATGGAATCAAATATCTATTATTTTGAAGTAACATTTGATAAAATAGATAACCCATTTGAATATACTTTTGCTATTGGACTTTGTCCATTACATTATAAAAAAGTTTGTTTATATTCTTAAATTAAACTATATAAATAAGAGTCATTAAATAGGATAAATTCATTGGTTGGGAAGAAAATTCTATTGGATATCATTCAGATGATGGTAAAATGTTTTATAACAGTCCAAAAGGAAAGGCATTTGCAAAACCTTATGGACAAGGAGATACAGTTGGTTGTGGATTTGATGTTTCAAATCATATTGTTTTCTTTACAATAAATGGGGTTAGTCTTCCTCTTATTCCTGTTAAAGAAAATGCTTTTTACCCTGCTATTAGTTTAAGAAGTTACAAAGACTTTACTATCAATTTTGGAGAAGAACCTTTTAAATATGATGTTTATCATTTTAAAACAAAAGATGAAGTTAAGGATGGTCATAAAGACCAAAGTAGTGAACAAATCTTTGATAAATCAAACTTGCTTTTCAGTTCTAAAATGTTAAATCACTTCTTAAACTCAGAAGATGAAAGTTCTGGTTCAAATAGTTTCAACCCAACTAATTCAAAATGTGAAAGAATGAATAAAGACGAAATAAGTGAAGATGGAAGCAATAGAGATAGTTCTGATAATGAAGGGTCTGAGGATGAAGAATTAGAAGAATCAATAGATGAAGATACTGATGAAGACACAAGTAGTCTTTTCTCTGAATAATCAGTTCAGTATTATATAACAATTTTTAGTCAATATTTTTGTTTTATAAAACAAACAATTTCATAAGTCTTTAAACCAAAATTTTTCTTTTACGTTTGATTAGAAGTAATAAAATAACAACTACAAAAGGAGTTTAGAAAATGAACTTAAAGTAAATGAGTTTAACAAGTTATATTGCTTAACTAAATAACACAAAATGGTTTTCATTCTACTATCCATTGAAACTATAATATCTTGTTTTAATGGTTAAATTTATAATAGGAAATTGAAAGAAAATATAAGAAAGATATTAGTGGGAATGCACGAGCTGTTAGAAGATTAAGAACAGCATGTGAAAGAGCAAAAAGAACATTATCAAGTGCAAGTGTTGCTAATATTGAAGTTGATCAATTATATGAAGGAATTGATTTTTATACATCTATTACACGAGCTAGATTTGAAGAAATCAACATTGATTTATTTAAATCAACTATTGGACCAGTTTCAAGAGTATTAGAAGATGCTAAAATAGATAAAAGTAGTATTGATGAAGTAGTATTGATAGGAGGAAGTACAAGAATTCCAAAAGTCGTTGAGATATTAAAAGAATTTTTCAATGGGAAAGAACCAAATAAAAGTATTAATCCAGATGAAGCAGTTGCGTATGGAGCAGCAGTACAAGCAGCTATATTAACAGGAACCGGAGGGAAAGCAACAGAAGATGTGTTATTACTTGATGTTGCACCACTTACACTTGGAATAGAAACAGCAGGAGGAGTTATGACAGCATTAATTCCTAGAAATTCAACAATTCCAGCAAAGAAATCCGAAATATTTTCTACATATGCAGATAATCAAGCAGAAGTATTAATTCAAGTATTTGAAGGAGAAGCATCAATGACAAAACATTGTAATTTACTTGGAAGATTTGAGTTAACAGGAATAGCACCAGCACCACGAGGAGTACCACAAATCGAAGTTACATTTGACATTGATGCAAATGGAATATTAAATGTAACAGCAGAAGATAAAAGTAGTGGAAAGAAGAATAAAATTACTATTACAAATGACAAAGGAAGATTAAGTAAAGAAGATATTGATAAAATGATAAGAGAAGCAGAGAAATATAAAGCAGAAGATGAAGAGAATAAGGCACGAATTGAAGCAAAGAATCAAATAGAAAATATGTGTTATTCAATGAAGAATAGTATTAAAGAAATGGGAGATAAAATAAGTGAAGAAGATAAGAAGAAAGCAGAAGAAATAATAGAAAAGAATTTAAAATGGGTTGATAACAATCAAAATGGAAGTAAAGAAGAATATGAGAAGAAAAAGGAAGAAGTTGAAAAAGAAATTGGAGAGATTTATTCAAAAATAACTCAAGGAGGAAGAGGATTTACAGGAACTAGAAACACGGAAAAAGAAAATAAAGGACCAAGGATTGAAGAAGTTGATTAAATAAAGAAGAAAAGAATATGTACAAATAATAAGAAAAGTAATTAATTAAAATCATTTGGTTAATAAATAAAATAATAAAAAATATAATAAAGAATAATAAAATAAAAGTATTTTAATTAAAATAATTTGTTAAATTCATTAATACTCATTTGTTAAATTTTCTTTTATAACAATAATGAATATTCAAATTGTTATGTTAACTTAATGAATCATCAAATGATAATATTCAATAATGAATAGAATATATATGAATATGATATAATTGTAATACATTTAATTTTATTTAAATGTATTAATAAAATCATTCATTAATTGAAAATAGTAAGACAGTAATAAGTTTATTAACAATATTAATTGTATAATAAAGATATTAAAAATATATTAAATGTATAATATTAGATTAATGAATAATAATTAAATAATTAAATACTTTAGAAATATTAATGAAATTCATTTCATACTTTATTATTTTTCATTTTAATATTGATATTAATATTTTATAATATTAAATGTTTATTGTTTATGTTATTTTGAACATTATTTATTTCATTTGATTTTTGATAAATTTCATTTATTTTTATTGATTTTCAGACTCATCAAAATACTCTTTTTATTCATATATTTAACTTTATACGAAATAATAAATGATAGATTATATTTTTAATTTTGTGGTAAAATATTATATTTATTCAATTTGCATAATTATAAATATTACCAATATTAATATATTTATTGTTGAAGTTAAATTTAAATAGTTTAGTTGATTTCATTTGATTATATTATTCATTTTTATTATATAATTATCGTTAAGTAATTTAGAAGAAGTACTTTTATTAATGTTGGTTATGAAATTATTAATCCATTATCTAAAATTAAATTATGATTTATATCTATGAATTTGTTGTTTATTAAAAAGTAAAAATAATAAGTAAGATATTAATATAAAAATATAGATATAATTATATTGAATGAAATTTAAAATAGTTATAAAATTCTAGGATTAATTGAAATTATTATTTTTTAGATAATCAAAAATAATTAATATGGTTAATTGAAACTATTTAATAGAAATAATAATTGAATAATGTTTTAGTTCAATATATTGATGATGAATAAGAATCAAAATGGTAATTCTTATTTAAGGCAACGAAAAAAAGCAAATAATTGAAAAAGAAGAGAATGAATGATATAAAAGAATAAAAAGAAAGTAAAAAGTAGAAGAAGATGAAGAAAGAATAAAAGTAGAAAGGAGAGAATATAAAAAGAAAGAAGATAAAGTGTAATAAAACAAAAGAGATGATAAAGGAAGAAAAGAATGAAAAAAATAAAGGATGCAAATTTTATTGAAACAAATAAAAAAAGCACAAAATTTAATGATGCAAAATTTAATGATGCAAAATATTTAGCAACATATTTTATTGATGCAAAATATTTTGAAATAAAAATAATTCATCATTTGATATTATTACATTTGATAATAAATTATATTATATATTAAATACATCATATTTCTTTATTATTTATCTTTCTTTTCTTTTTATTATTTCATATATTAAATTATTATTCATTCATTTATTATTTATATTTCATTTATTTAATAAAATGAAAATGAAATTGTAAAATATCAATCAATTAAATATTCATGAATAATAATTTATTAATATTTAATAATTGAAATAACAAATAATAATGTAACAATAATGATATATTCAATATATTCTTTATTTGATTTGTTCAATATTAGATTATTCTATTTCATTATCATTTCATTGTCTTCATTATTTTATTTCATTATTTCATATTCATTTATTATTTTTTAAAATCAAATAAACAATAATATTGATATTTATTCATCATATTCATTTAATATAATAAATATACAAAACATTTCAGAATAAAGAATGAATAATTAAGAATGAAAATATT